CTATGTAACGCTTTTAATCTACTCTAGTACCTACGCAACTTTTTTCAACGAATGTAGATTTATGCAATGTTTTAAACCTATTTCGACACCAACGCACCATTTTAATCTTAATATTTTACTTACTTATGCTGATATGATTTCGTAGTTTGAAATATTGTAAACAGTCCATGTATTTCAGCAATGGCTGCTAAGTGGAGTCTGTGCTTATGAAGTAAATAAACCATTATTATAGAATACACATGTTCATTTCTCTAGAACAATGTACCTCTGACGAAGACATGAGATCTCCGACCTCTAGTTAAGTATGTGTTTTAGATCATAATCATGCTGTTATGGCAAATATAATAAGCAAACGGGCAATTAAATAGCTAAAGACGCCGAGATCACATGAAAATAGATCGTAAATATGAGTTATGTTTTTTGGTAGCCTTTGTGTGTGGGGGGGGGGGAGGTGCGCGCGTGTGAGTGTATGAGTGAGTGTGTCTGAACGTTCTGTGTCGTTCTGTGCTGTTTTGCAGCCTGTTGTTATGACAGGAACAGGAAACGTTTTAAAAGACAAACGTTTTACAGCACTTTTCTGACTGTTGTAACCACTTGCTAGTTTTACGATATGTGTAGTCAAAATCTAAAATATTTTAGATTCGTCCTTACAAGATTCGCCTCTGCCACACTACTTATGGGTTCCCCATATACAGGAAACAGGGGGTGTGAGGGGTTGGTCGTAATATTGCAACTTACCCTAAACCCTAATCCTAACCCCAATTCTAAGTGTAACATTAACCCAAACAATGACCCCAACTCTAACCCTGTCCCTACCTCTAACTCAAATACCAGCCCTAATTCAATACTAACCCTAGATGGTTTATTGGTCAAACATTACCCGTGCAATCACAGCCTTTTATAGCTCTGAATTGGTGCAAGGTTTATAATCAAATAATACACATGATACATATAACATATTAGCTCCACACACGTTTGTGGAACTGTCACAAGGGTCTGTGCGATTGCCATTCTGCGCTACCAGGTGACCTCAATACGTCTTTCCCCAACCGAAGTTAATAGGTACCCATTTACACCTGGGTGGAGTGAGGAAAGTCGTCTCGTCTATTCAGTATTTGGTTTCTCGCTCCCTCACAGGTATAACACAACTCCCAGAAGTCCCACATGTCTGTTTTTGTTTCAATCCATCCCCGCTACCCTAAATCTCGCAGTCAAGTCCCTGACTGTGTCCGCCGAAATACCATACCGTACAAACTTTTAATTGACTAGATATAATGATTCAATGTCACAATTTTCTTTTCGGTTTCTTCTCCTGACACTTCCCGAGATGTATCTTGATGACGCCCTTCTGGTGCAGTTCTCTCACTTTCATGTACTCCACGGCCATGTCGTGCGTTTCCGGGGCAAAGAAGATGGGCGCGGAGTAGTAGTGGTATCGCACTTTCCCGCCTGAATCGTTAAACGGGAACGGCCAGAATCCGTACACGTTCACCTGCTCACACAGCATTAGCGCCACCGTGATCACGTAAAAACCTGGGGAAACGGGAGGAACACAATGTGTTATATTGTTTTGGGTGACTGCACTATGGGTTTGTGTGTGTTGATTCCGAGTAGCGACCGGTTGCGTTGAGAATGGGAGGTGATTTTGACAGCCTAAGTGACATGTCTGGTGAAATGGATGGCTGTGTTAATTGTACGTGTGTTATTCGCATATTCGTGTATACCTTAACTTGCATATAAGGGACAACACAAATGACTCCGTAACCCACCTGAGGTAATTTTTCTAGGAAGGCCCCGCTACGCCCAGTACCGCTGGACGTCGATGAGAACATACCTTAATTTGCATACCCAGGACAGCACAAATGACGCCTACCTGAGGTAATTTTGGTTCCGGGTCGGAGTTTAAATCTGACCAGAGGCTAAGTAAGTGCGCAGTAAATCGCCGGAAACGTGACTTTGAATGGTATGTTTTGGCCGCGATATCCCTGAAATCGTAATATCTGTGTACATGTATTTGTATTTTCTGAAAAGCCTGTTAGTTGTAGCCTTTATAGGTGGCGTAATGTTGGTGGTCCAGCGAAGACTTCCTGGCATTAGTCCGCGCGGATGATTATGTGGCGTTTTCGCCTGACCGCCGGGATGGTACGTTCTATATGCGTTGTGGGTGTGTTCGGGCCATCGAAGATAGCGATAAACTTATCGCATCGATTTTGATTAAATTCAAATTTTGGAAACACCATGTTCTGAGCTTCTTCGAGTACTAAGCCGTTACCCTGGGAAAATTCGTTTTTTCCATGCAGCCATGGTTAAAAATGACGAAAAAAATGACCCCTTGTTTAAAAATGTACTTTGATGTGCCTTAGTTACCCCTAAATAAATTGGGCGCAGAAAATATCAATGAAGTGTATTGATAAGCGGCACGGCACCCCTTTCCACCAAAAGAGTGAAAAATTCCGACCCGCGTTTAGTACAGAAATGACAGCCCGTCGGGCTGAGGGTGTCAAATTGCTCGAAATACGGAAGGAAACTCCGGTCCGAGACCTTTTCCTAGGAAGGCCCCGCTACGCCCAGTACCGCTGCACGTCGATGAGAACATACCTTAATTTGCATACTCGGGACAGCACAAATGACGCCTACCTGAGGTAATTTTCCTGGGAAGGCCCCACTACGCCCAGTACCGCTGCACGTCGATGAAGAACATACCTTGATTTGCATACTCGGGACAGCACAAATGACGCCTACCTGAGGTAATTTTCCTGGGAAGGCCCCGCTGTGCCCAGTACCGCTGCACGCCGATAAAGTGTGCGGGATTCTCGTACGCCACGCGCAGGTCCGTCCGCCGCTTCATCAGCTCAGCCTGCATCACCAGCGTGGCGTCTGCGAGGGAAGGAGGGGGGGGGTGTCAGGAGGTGGTCAAAATTAGAGAATTAAGGCTAGCAACGCAAAGTAGAAGTCAACCAACTACTATCCTTACAAACAGGAAAGCAAACATCCTTTTTTATACACCAACATGAATCAAACCGTATACTACAAAACATTCCAACCCATCTTAAAACCATTTGCCCTGGGCTTTCTTTCACTTGTCTATCTCTATGACAAAGCCTAACCATCTGCGTAAGGGGGCAAGGAAGCAAGGAAGCGATATGCCTACCAACAAATTTAAAATGATAAAATGTCCACTCATTCAACCAACCAACCAACAAACAAACAAACAAACAAACAAACAAACAACCAGCCAGCCAGCCAGCCAGCCAGCCAGCCAACCAACCAACCAGATAACCAACCAACCAACCAACCAACCAGCCAACCAACCAACCAACCAGCCAGCCAGTCAGTCAGCCAGCCAGCCAACCAACCAACCAACCAGATAACCAACCAACCAGCCAGCCAGCCAACCAACCAACCAACCATCAACCAACCAACCAGATAACCAACCAACCAAACAAACAACAAACAAACAGACAATCGAATACTGAAGACCTGATTGTCTCTCACCTTTAGGTTTCTTGATGATGACCATGCCTTTGTACTGTAGGGTCTGATTGTACCACCCGTCCTTCACCTCCTGAGAATCCTTGATTTTCCCGAACCTGGGGCATGGGAGAAACACAGAGTTCAAGATTAGTGATAGAATATATTGAGAAAGTGTAGAGTGCCTATTAGAGTGGCGAGGGATTTAACTATCGTAACAAAATTGAAAATGCATATGTTTAACCTTACATGTTGAAATTATACATGAAAAGAACATTGTAGATCCAGGACGATACGGATTCTTTATTGACACAACAAAAAAAGTACAGAGACTTTTGTATGGTCTTCTACAACTTAAGATCTGACAAAGCTAAATACATGTGTGGATAACGTCATTTATGCACAGAATATATGTATGCTGTAACAATAAAGATTTAACTATTCTCTAACATGTGGTCTCTAAGATCGAAACATTCTTTAATGTATTTTCCTATTTGAACACTGTATTAGTTATTATAGACCTTGTGTGTACATTTACAAAGAAGTTGAAATACCAGTGTTAAGGAAACAGATTCAACTTTCCGCTGCCATTTTGTAAGTCAAGCAAGTACTTACTTTCTAAGCATGGACATTGGCACTGTGGTGAAGTTGGACTTGGTGCCGACGTGGGCGAGATGCCTCTTGTCCGTCAGAGGCGGCATGTTACATCTGAAGACATAGTCTGCGCTGTCTATGTGGTCAGCACAGTTACTCTCCCTCAGCACCCCGCTGTTTCCCACTACTGAACACGTCTTGTAGAGTTTGTCTGGGTAGGGGGATTTCTGAAAATGTGAAGCAATGAGTGAAAGCGTGTTATACTCCGAAGGGTTAAGCGCATGTCGTCTATGGTATGACCCAATGAAAATATATAATATCAGAAATTATAGATAACAATACACGAGTCAAACATACATAGATAAGTGTTGTACTCAGCCAAGCAAGTAGGGTCACACGCGCGTCGTTTTCATGTGTCGGGCGTCGTTCGACGCGACGCGCGCGAGCTGTACGACACATTTTTCAAGCGTATAAACAGGCCCGCCACCGCCACGCGGCGCCTTGCGTCGTTTTTTCTGTGGCACCTTCAGGAGGTGCCACAAGTGCATCGCGACACACAGCGGGGAGTCTGCGACAAGAAAAACATCATGTTTATACCGCATTAAAGGAAAATTATGGACAAAAACAATACCTCTCAAGTATGCACAATCTAGATATCCGAAAAGTGATCACAAAATTAAGAATTAGTTGTCATAAATTAAACACAGAAATAGGTCGATACAAGAAAATACCAAATGACCAAAGGTATTTTTGTATGCATTTTCGGGATGTGAATATCGTGGAATTGAAGGGGGAGGGGAGGCTCCCCCGGAACCTCAATTTCCCATCCAAGCCAGCCTAGCGGGGACCAATAGGCGGGCAGCATTTCGGCCACACCCACAACCCGCGCTTTAGCAAGATATGGTTGAAAAAGATGTTTATTAAACTTGTTCAAAAGATACATTTGTAAATTGTTTTCTGAAATTCTGTGTCTTTGAATAGTTGGAGCAAAATAACTACCGAGCCGAGTTAAACCATTTCGGCACCGGGCTTCTGGTGCTTACATGTACGTCGGCCGCGCGGCGTACAGAACAGTATCTTAGGCCAAGTCTACGTCTGTGAAAATGTGAGAAAAGAGGCCTTGCAGTCCTGTCCTGCCGATAACCTTGTTGTCCCGATAAACCTTTGTTACCCAGGCGGTATGATCTCGACAATATGAGTGGCAGCATCTCGATACCCTTTTTAAAGACAAGGTTTGATTTGCCGATTCCGAGTTTCCAGTGCTGAAGCCGCCGACACACCAAGTGTTGACGTACCTTCGGCACTGGAGATCTAGGACGGAAGCCGCCTCACCTCTGTATACCGAGTGCTGAGAAAGGAACCCGTTACTTCGGTACTTGCATTATTTTCACCCCAGATACACCAATTCTTACATTGTTTATCTGACATTTCCAACTCAGATTACCTGCCGCGCCTTACGGAAGGATGCTGTTCAACCCCATTGTCGAATGGAATCGACCGCAAAGTGGGCGTGGCGCGGAATGCTGGTCACCCATTGGTCGCCACTAGGCTATGTGGATGCGAAATTGATCTAGGAGGGGGGCGAAACCTAACATACAAGTACGTCATGCTGCATCAGGCAAAGTGGCTATCGCAGAGTGGAACTCGCTGTCACCAAGTACAGTAGGGGCATTGTTATTAGATAGCTGTAAACAATGTCTATCTAGAGTTAGAAGTTCAAGGGTTAGGTGTAACAAGTCGATCGGTGTAATGTAGCCAGCTGCCGCCGCGCCGCGTGCCTCCGACGCTGGTGTGTTACGCCGAAATGCCGTTATACCGGCTATACAGATACAGAAGCTGGTGTGTTACGCCGAAAGGCGGTTATACCGGCTATATAGATACAGATAAGACGTACATTACAAATCTAGAAAAATCTGATTTGTGAAAACAGCGAAATATTATTATGAATAGACCAGACCAGAACCTATGATGCCGAGTCTCTTTTCAACCTTATTTTATCATTGGCAGCTTTTAAGGCTTAATTTTGATAATTTTTTTCATTTTCTAATTAGGATGAACATGGCAACGACAGGACACGGGTTTCCCACCGGAGTTGGTCTGAACTGCTGTAATGGGTCTCCCACCGGGGTTTCCCAGGTCAACTGTGACAGCAAAACAAGCAATGCTGAAGACCAGGCGGCAGCACAAGTCAACTTGAATAAGACTGGTGAGAAACTCTACATGTGTGGGGAGTGTGGGTACAGAGCGACTTACAAGTCTACCTTATCCCAACATATGAGAACCCATACAGGAGAAAAACCCTACAAGTGTGACCAGTGTGACTATTCTGCAGCACGGAAATCTCATTTAGACGATCATCTCACCAAGCACACCGGTGAGAAACCCTACATGTGTGGGGAGTGTGGATACAGGACAGCTGACAGGTCTCACTTATCCCAACATATGAGAACCCATACAGGAGAAAAACCCTACAAGTGTGACCATTGTGACTATTCTGCAGCATTGAAAGCTACATTGGACAAACATCTGGCAACACACACCGGTAAGAAACCCTACGAGACATGTGTGGGGAGTGTGGGTACAGGACAACTCAGACATCCACCTTATCCCGACATATGAGAACCCATACAGGAGAAAAACCCTACAAGTGTGACCAGTGTGACTATTCTGCAGCACGGAAATCCACCTTAGATGATCATAAAGCAAAACACACCGGTGCGAAACCCTACATGTGTGGGGAGTGTGGATACAGAACACCTAAAATGTCCCACTTATGCCGACACATGAGAACCCATATAACAGAAAAACCCTACAAGTGTGACCAGTGTGACTATTCTACAGCAGGGGAATCCACTTTGGCCCAACATCAAGCAAAACACACCGGTGAGAAACACTACGTATATACATGTGTGGGGAGTGTGGATACAGGACAACTAAAAAGTCCTACTTATCCCAACATATGAGAACCCATATAACAGAAAAACCCTACAAGTGTGACCAGTGTAGCTTCTCTGCAGCCTCTAAGTCTTCCCTAACTCGACATAAAAGAATTCACACGGAGGCACCAAGTCTGCAACTGTGACCATCTCGTTGTGATATTCCCCTCACCATAGTTTCCCTATCTGGAGGACAAGGACATATCACAGTAATGGCCAAAACATTTAGGCTAACAGAATGGATAAAATTTGCCAATAGGCCAAGTCTTTCGCTGAGGAAATCTGATAGACATATACTTCATACACAACATCTCGAATCACTGTATAACTATGGAATAATTCTTAGTCAGCCTTTAAATGTCAATTATTCAGAATTACACCATCTTTCTTTACATATCTAGAATTGTAGTTGGAGAAAAGTAAACCTGATGGTATTGATTGGATAATGTACATATAGAGCAATTAAAATCCGTGATTGTTAACAGAGTTGAAAGGTGGAAGGTAATGTTGAGTTTGTTTGAATGAAGCCATTGAAGGAGCTTCCATTTCTTGTTAATAGTTCACTTTGTTTGTCTGTATGTCTTACAGACACAATAATATCTTTTGACTTATATAAACTCAGTTATCCATCGTTTGGTTTGTAGTAAACTCTCTATGCTAATTTGCATCGGTGTAAAATGAGTGACGTACTTCAGTTTCCAACAGTAGGAAGTATTGTATAATTGTAAAAACGTACACGTTATGTTGTATACGAGTAAAAGTTTCTGTTTGTTTTGTATTACTTTTTGAAGATGTATTTATTGAAACTTTCCGCTAACAACATTAAATCGTTATGTACCTTGAACATGATGTTTCCTTCTGTGTTGCTCTTTTTTCCTTGGATGGAATATTTTCAGAGGTGGTGATTTGATCATAAAACACAGAAATCAAGATTCAGACCAAACGTTTGGCTTGGCATTCATTCCCCTAAATTATCTCTTTTAAAGTAGATCAGAAACAAAAGTCAGGCGAGTGTTACGTTGTAAGGTGGTCGGTTTGAAACGCAAAACGTTGACATTATGAGGAAAACGTAACGTGCCAACTGACATCAAATGTACTACATGGGTATTCAGGCAGACAACTTCACCTTTGACCCAAAGGGCGTTCACCTCTGACCTCGCGAGACGGAAGAACAAAGCTGCCCGAGTTCCGGTTTACGTGAAGAGAAAAACCACCATAGGAAGCAGGTAAGGCTTAGAAACGGACAGAAAAGTATTCTAATGTTCAGGGGAATAGTTTGAGCCCATTTTTGTGGAAGAAGAATCGCAGTAGGATGATAATTTGTTGGCATTTTTGGGATGTGAATATTGTTGAATTAAGGGGGAGGGGGGCGAAACCTAACATACGTTCGACCCTCGCCACTTACATGTACGTCGATTTGCATCAGACAAAGTGGCCTTTTTAGAGTACATGATTGTAAGATCTCACAAATTATGATTTTGGAACAACATAGAAGCACATTTATTCAAATGCGAGAAAGACAACACGTTAGAATTATGTTGGGTTACGTTGTAATGCATTGGGTTAAAATTGTAAAGCTTGGTGAAGTTAGAATTCTTTGAAGCTTGTTTCTATAAATTCTATTTTATCATTGACAGCGAGCTTATAACGCTTAATCTGTATAATTTCTTCATTTTCTTTTGTTAGGCTGAACATGGCAACGGCAGAACAAGGATCTCCCACCGGAGTTGGCCTGAAATGCTATGATTGGTCTCCCACCGGGGTTTCTCAGGTCGACTATGACAGCAAAACAATCAGTGGCAAAGACCAGGCGGCAGCACAAGTCAACATAGATAACGCTGGTGAGAAACCCTACATGTGTGAGGAGTGTGGGTACAGGGCGACTTACAAGTCTACATTATCCCAACATATGATAACCCATACAGGAGAAAAACCCTACAAGTGTGACCAGTGTGACTATTCTGCAGCTCGGAAATCCAGTTTGGACAAACATCTAGCAAAACACACTGGTGAGAAACCCTACATGTGTGGGGAGTGTGGGTACAGGACAGCTAAAAAGTCTCACCTATCCGAACATATGAGAACCCATACAGGGGAAAAACCCTACAAATGTGACCAGTGTGACTATTCTGCAGCATGGAAATCTTCTTTGGACAAACATAAAGCAAAACACACTAGTGACAAACCCTACATGTGTGGGGAGTGTGGATATAGGACAGCTTTTAAGCATTCCTTATCCCATCATATGAGAACCCATACAGGAGAAAAACCCTACATGTGTGACCAGTGTGACTATTCTGCTGCACAGAAATCTAATTTGAACCAACATCTTGCAAAACACACCGGTGAGAAACCCTACATGTGTGGGGAGTGTGGGTACAGGGCGGCTTACAAGTCCCACTTATCCGAACATATGAGAACCCATACAGGAGAAAAACCCTACAAGTGTGACCAGTGTGACTATTCTACAGCATGGAAATATGCTTTTGACCAACATCTAACAATGCATGCTGGTGACAAACCCTACATGTGTGGGGAGTGTGGATACAGGACAGCTGTGAGGTCCAGCTTATCCCGACATATGAGAAGACATACAGGAGAAAAGCCCTACAAGTGTGACCAGTGTGACTATTCTGCTATACGGAAGTCTCATTTAGACGATCATCTCACAAAACACACCGGTGAGAAACCCTACATGTGTGGGGAGTGTGGGTACAAGACAGCTCACAAGTCTCACTTATCTGAACATATGAAAATCCATACAGGAGAAAAACCCTACATGTGCGGGGAGTGTGGATACAGGACAGCTAGAAAGTCTGCCTTATCCCAACATATGAGAACCCATACAGGAGAAAAACCCTACAAATGTGACCAGTGTGACTATTCTGCTGCACAGAAATCTAATTTAAACCAACATCTTGCAAAACACACTGGTGAGAAACCCTACAATGGCTACATGTGTAGGGAGTGTGGGTACAGGTCAACTCTTAAGTCCACCATATATCAACACATGAAAACCCACATAGGACAGTGGAGGCTACAGAGGGGGGGCAAGGGGGGCAGGAAACCTTCACTCTGATTGGTTTATCAGCTGTGCATTACGTATTACTAGGAATAAGGCGTGAGTTTGTCACGCTGTTGCGAGTTTGTTCTACGTTGATTTATAATGTCTGCATGTTCCTACTTGTAAGGAAAGAAAGTAAAAGAAATGTTGTGGAAATCTGGAAATACCAACTTGTTATGTTGATCGGCATTCCCTCTACAAATGCAGTACATCTCAAGATATGAATAAAAGTTCAATCCTAGGAAGATGGCTTTGAATGTTCTTGGTGTCAAAAAAACTGTACTGGAGATATATTTCAATCATATTTATTCATTCCTGAGAGAAGCCTGTTGGAGACTAAACCGAAGCCCTGAGAAAAGCCTGTTGCAGACTACACCGGAGCCCTGAGAGAAGCCTGTTGGAGACTACACCGGAGCCCTGAGAGAAGCCTGTTGGAGACTACACCGAAGCCCTGTTAGAAGGCTGTTGGAGACTACACCGGAGCCCTGAGAGAAGCCTGTTGGAGACTACGCCGAAGTCCTGTAAGAAGTCTGTTGGAGACTACCTAATGAAAGCTTAACGTGCAACCTGACGTCAAATGCACTACTTGGGTAATCAGGCCAACGAATTTCTCCTTTGACCCAGATCGAGTTTACCTCTGACCTCGCGAGACGAAGGAAGGACTACACCGAACCACTGTAAGAAGCCTGTTGGAGACTACACCGAATCACTGTAAGAAGCCTGTTGGAGACTAGACCGGAGCCCTGAGAGAAGCCTGTTGGAAACTACACCGAAGCCCTGAGAGAAGCCTGTTGGAGACTACACCAGAGCCCTGAGAGAAGCCTGTTGGAGACTACACCGGAGCCCTGAGAGAAGCCTGTTGGAGACTACACCGGACCACTGTAAGAAGCCTGTTGGAGACTACACCGAACCACTGTAAGAAGCCTGTTGGAGACTACACCGAACCACTGTAAGAAGCCTGTTGGAGACTACACCGAAGCTCTGAGAGAAGCCTGTTGGAGACTACACCGAACCACTGTAAAAAGCCTGTTGGAGACTACATTGAACCACTGTAAGAAGCCTGTTGGAGACTACACCGAACCATTGTAAGAAGCCTGTTGGAGACTACACCGAACCACTGTAAAAAGCCTGTTGGAGACTACATTGAACCACTGTAAGAAGCCTGTTGGAGACTACACCGAAGCTCTGAGAGAAGCCTGTTGGAGACTACACCGAAGCTCTGAGAGAAGCCTGTTGGAGACGACGTCGTGTGCGTTACTTTTCTTACTAGAATATCAAAGTATGGATCATTATAAAGGGATTGAAAGTCATTACAAGTTGAAAAGTTATATGGTTACTCTGCTGCAAGGTGTCAAACACCTACAGGTAGAGACGAGTTACGTTACAACTTCCCGCCATTTTCTTTAGTTCTAGACGACATGACCAAAACGACGTCGTGTGCGTTACTTTTCTTAGTAATTGCAAGTTGTAAAATTATATGGTTACTATGCCACAAGGTATGGATCATTATAAAGGGATTGAAAGTCATTGCAAGTTGTAAAATTATATGGTTTAACATACTCTGCTGCAAGGTGGAGACGAGTTACGTTACAACTTCCCGCCATTTCCTTTAGTTTAAGACGACATGACGTCAAAACCACGTCGTGTGCGTTACTTTTGTTACTAGAATATCAAAGTATGGATCCCACAAGGTGTTAAACACCTGAAGGTGGAGACCAGTTACGGTACAACTGCCCGTCATGTTCTTCAGTTTAAGACGACATGACGTCAAAACGACGTCGCGTGCGTTACTTTTCTTACTAGAACACCAAAGTATGGATCATCATAAAATGATGGAAAGTCATTACGAGTTATAGTATTATATGGTTAATCTCACGCAAGGTGTTTAACACCTGAGGGTGGAGACCATTCACTTGAATCGGCGGCCAGCATCAGCAGATTATGATATTGTCGCTAGGTGTCGTTTGTAAGTCTTTAATTTGCACTTTATCGTTTAATTGGTACTTTGTGATTTTATTTATCTTCGATTTGATTTTCTTTGCGTTATTACAGACCATTTGCAACAATTCCCCATTCGTGATTTTTCATTGGGGTCGATTTAGGAAATTTCTGGGATTTCGAATCTGTATTTGAATCAGCTGCTATGCTCGGTTTAGTCCCGAATCGGCGGCTGAAAGGGCGGCTACGAATCGGCGGCCCAATCGGCGGCCTACTTCAGGTTGGTCGCAGCGCGACGCAGACCGCCACAGCTGCGGCGCGAAGCGGGCGCCGCGGTCGCTGTGTGTAAACGGGAAAGTGTCGTAGGCGACTTGGCGCGCGCGCGCGACACACATATAAACGACGCACGTGTGAACCGAGCCTTAGTGTAAATGTGGGACTAGATAATAATGTTTCTTATGCAATGTTTGTCTGAGCGCATTGAAAAGGTTTAAATTTATCCGCATATGCATCGCATTTAGATATACAAAATACTAGTATAGAAGATTTGATACAATGATGTTTAAAGTACCATTCTTTCCTCGTGGTATAATTCTAACGCAGGAGAAACAACTCTAAGAGCCCGTCTCACCTTTAGTAACAAGTTGAAGATCTTGTCCGTCAGCCTGTAGGACCTGGCGTCGTTCGCGGCGCTGGGCACGACCTGTCCCACCGCCATGTTCCCCTGCGTCATCAGCGCCATCGTGCGGCTGGAGCAGCACTGCTCAAGCTCAGACCTGGACAGGGAGATGTCCTGACTAAATCTGCGCTCCTAGCGGCCGGCCCGGTATTACACCAGCCCCCAGAACGCGGCTGGTGTAATACCGGGCCGGCCGCTAGGAGCGCAGATTTAGTCAGGCTAGACAGGGAGAGAACGTGCCGAGAGCGTTTGGGCCCGCCAACCAGGCCTCAATTACCGCGCTTCGGGGGCGGTTTAAGTTTCTTCGCTCTCAACCTCAACTTTGGTTCGGCGGCAACAGAAGACCAAGCGTAATACAGGAAGTCAGCGCATACAGGGAAACCAGCTGGAGATAGGTCCGTGGTATGACTCGCCTGTTCTTGGTAAAGGCCCGGGCCGAAAAATTACCGACAAACCGACCAAAGGTTTGGTACCCAGGCTAGTATTGAGCCAAATTTTTGAGCTGTCGCATACATGAGAGGTCAGGTGTTTAGGGTTAGGTTAAGGTTAGGGTTGGGATCATTGTTCAGGGCTAGGGTTAGACTTACAATTGGGGTTAGGTTAGGTTTTAGTCTCCCACATCACGACTAAAGCCCTCCCACCCCTTGTCTCAGGTATATTGAAAACCCTCAAGTAGTGTCGGAGTCATGTATTTGGCAGGATCATGTATTTGGATTGACACCGGGATGGAAGCATTGTTTCGAGTGGCGCTGGTTTAGGGGCCGTTTGTATGTTTGGGTTTCAGACATGGCATCATGCTACATAACGTCATCTCATTGCAAAGACCTCATAACCTAGTTGATGCCGGATAGCGATTCGTTAACGTTATCCCATTTGAGTTATCAATAAACAACTAACCTTAGTTAACGATAGCGCCACGCCATTTAATTAAAGTTATCAATAACCAACTAACCTAGTTAATGACAGCGATACGTCATCCCGTATCCACGGGCGGCGGAAGGCCTCCATGATGGCGGTGAGGTTGACGTTCTGGTGTATCCTCACCACCGGGTGTTTACTGGGGATCTGCCGGGACGACCCGTCCTTGTTATGCACGATGTAGAAAAACTCCTCCTTCCCAGCAGTCGTGTTTTCACTAGTTCTGTTATCACTCTGTAACAATACTTTATCTGCAGCCGGTGTCAATTCTTTTTGAACATCCGCATTCTTTACAGCTTTTTTAACATCCGCATTCTTTACAGCTTTTTTAACATCCGCATTCTTTACACTGTCAGCTTCCTGGGTTTTGTTGGGATCTATCTTAGGCTTGGCGTTGTCGATGAGGGTCAGTAAGCTGATTCTGAACTGGTCCTGGAGCTGTTGTTGCTGAGACTGGTTACCCTGGACAGCGCCCTTCAGCAAGGTGAGCAGATCCTGCTGACAATTTTTTGTCAATGAACTTTATTGCTCGACAGTTGTGCATGGTACAATGTATGGCATCAATAACAATGTGATCAATACAATCAAGTCTATTCTAAGAGACTACTAGTATTACTACAGGAATATGAACGTAAATGGCGTATGACATGATGTGAGTTAGGCGTTGCTATCTGCTACAATACTTTCTCTCTTTTGTAATGCACTACATATATATTGGCCTAAGTACGTAGATATGGAGTCGGGGCAGGACATAAGTAGATTGAAAATGTCTATGTTTGTCTTTGGGAGAGGTTTACCAGTTTTTCATTTTCATTAATTTTTGTCTATCTAAAGTATATGTAGGAGAGGTCATTATGAAATGATATTCATCTTCAACACTTTCTTGACATGAGGAACATTGTCTCTGGTTAGCTGGTATATTACTATACCGACCTTTTTCTGGCCCGGACAGCCTGGGTTCTGGGGAACTTCTCTGGTCCGCACCAAACTGTATGTGGGAGACATACGTATGTGGGGTTTAGTTAACGGTTAAAAGGATGGCTGCGTTTTATGTAGACTTAACACTATAGACAATGATTTACCAAAGAACTGTAGTTAAATGATTATGAAGAACCAGTAAAGACATGTCTGGAACACATATCAATAGTATAATGTTCTCTATAACTTCATGTTGTCTTATAAGTTATACATGTAGGTACCTCTGCATATGCCGTGAAAACTTTCCACAGGAATTACTACACTCGTGTACAATGTGATGTTCATGCAGCTCGATTGATTCATGAAGCCATTTATATTTCTCAATAAGTGCGTTAAGAAAACGTTGAATATGTCTAAATAAAGACGTTAAAGAAGCACACGTACCCCCTCCCTGCCTGCCAGAGCGTGGTGGCGATGCCGGGGATCTCCAGCAGACTCAAGCCAAGGAAGTAGATAGAGATGAGGAGGAGGAAGAAAGACCATCCTGTGGTCCTATTCAGCCGCCGCAGCCACCGGTACATGCTACGGGGGGAAGGCAGTCAGGGTAAACACACACAGACACACACACACACACACACACACACACACACACACACACACACACACACACACACATACACACACACACACACACATACAAACACACATACACACAGACACACACACAGACACACTCACACACACATACACACACACACACACGCACACACACACACACACATATACACACAC